ACACACACACACACACAAACACACCAACAGACACACGCTAGCCGATTATATAAGTAGGATATCAGTGTGATAGTGACTTTCGTCAACAACTCCCTTGTTGTCTATCCGCTTGTAGTGCACTTTCAGCAGTATTAACCCTAAGTTGTTTTATAGCTGCTAAATGGTTATATTACCCGTATCACTGTCTTTTTTGACAGAATTGAAGAATCCTTGCTACTATATTTATGGCCCTACGGCGATACCCAAAAGCGTTGAAGTGTAGGCGAAAGGATGCTTTCAGAGCTCAACGACGTGCCTTGCTTCAATAGACGTGCGACCGACTGATAGAGTTGCTGGCAACACGTTGACGACGCAGGACAGATTACGTTTAGCCAGTATCGAGGCGTTGCTAGCAAGGCGTTTACAGCTCATGTCCAGAGCTGTCAACGCCTTGCTAGCAACGCCATCGGTCTATCAGTCCTCGGTTGAAATAACGTAAGTCGTTGAAGTCTGAAAGCGCCCAAGGTGGCAACGTCACCGTGCTCTGCATCTCTAACGCTAAGGGTCAGAACGCATAGAGGGATAGGAGTTGGGGTATGAGTACATACGTGCGTCCGAGGAGGCGCGCGGCAAATTGCGCAGCAAAACTTTTGGGGATTCGAACAACTCTGGCGCCCATTTTTGGGGCACAAACTTGAAGTAAAGCAGTTGGTTAGGGTCAGCCGATACCATTAATCTGCTCTACTTCGAATGTGGGCCCCAATGATATGCTCCAGAGTCGTTCGAATCACCACGCACTTCGCCGCGCAATTTGCCGCGCCCATCCTCGGACGCACGTAAGTTCCGTTCCCCTTCCAAGTTGCAGGATGAAAATTTTAGTCTGAGCCGGGACAGCTCTGAAGTAAGACGTTGGCAGTGTGCAAAAAGTTGGAATAAAGGAGGAGTTGACGGCTGGGCACTATCTCTGGGGCAAGTCCGTAAAAATGCTTGCCTTTTCGATTTTCTGCTCCGCGTTTTGCCAGGGTCGGATCAGATACCTCTCTGGTTCCGTTCGGTTCCACATTTGTGTGACTGAATAGAGCTGCATGGTAAACTGGCAGTTTCTTCCAGTTCATTCGAGTGACCCACGTGGGCTATTGCATCGAGGGCTGCCGAGAAAGCAACTTGGGTTCCCACTCAAAGCGATTTCGAGCATCAATTTGGGAAATGGGTTGACCGACAATTATCGAGCGCGCGTCGTTCCACCATACGTACAGGAGGCTATTGCATAGACTTGGTGTTGGACTAGAGGACAGTTGAAGGACCGCCTTCGCGATGTGTGCTCATCTCCAAAGTGGGAGCATCTTACCCACGACCCAGTAATCTGGCTAAGGGTCCTACTTCGAAGCCCTACTTCGAATGTGTGAATTGAAACATGTGAATGGGCATGCCGAGAAGTGGTACATGTTATCCGTGACGTTCTACGTCTGTTTCGACTATAAGAACGAAGTCTCCGTCCTAAAGTTCTGCGCCTTATTCGTTTCCTGAACTGAAAGAATATCTCCAAGCACTGCATCGGCGGAGGCACCGATGGGCCCGATCCCTTGCCGAACTTCGGAACATTAGAGGAATAAGTGAGGCAATGCCTTCGATTCGAGACGTCAGATTACTCCAGAATCCATCGCAGGTAAGGAGAGCCAGGAAATGCTAGAAGTGCAACTATTAGACGATGTGGTCAATTCCCGCGATGATGTTTAGCGAAGCAATTCCCGAAGTGGACAAGCGAGCAATGCCTGACACAGCATTAAACGACAGGTCCCAGTCAGTGTTCTCGCACCTTTCTTTACAGAACTTCCTTTCGGTCTAGGAGAGCTAGGGGGTGTGTAGAACCCCAATGATACGTTTAATTGTAAGATTTAGTGTTGTTTACTATTACCTAAGTGTTGTGGTGGTCGGGATCCAATTCAGGGGGTTGCGCAAGTCATCTTCGAGGCGAGCACGGGGATGTTTCGCGTAATTTAAGTCGTCGGAACGGCGTAACCAGTTGTTGACGGTGACGGTAGTTGTGGTTCGTTTACTCAAAGTCTCGTTATAGTATGGCGCAGCTTCCACTTGCCGAAGAAAACCACTGGGGATTGATCGATTCGTCTAGTTGGTCTCGTGAAAGAACGGTCTCTAGCATAAGCAGCTTGTGAAGAATAACCTACCCTCCATCTGAGTGATGAGCCTCATAAAGCAAAAAGACAATTAGCTCATCTCGCAGAAAACGCAGGAGCCCTGGTCGATGGTTTACCTACACAAGTAGGGAACTATCCATTTCTCAGTGGAACCAAAAACCTCCTTTCCCAAAGTCGAGTGCGTCTGGGACTACGGGTGGTTGAAGGAGAAATGGGACAAACCAAATTCTACATTCCAAAGAATAAGCGTGAAAAAGCATACAATGACAAACAAAGAAGATTGCAAAATAGAGGGGAGGTCGGGGGCCGAAGCAGAACCGAAGTATTCGAGAAAAAGTTTTGTTGATAGTATAAATCTTTCAAATGACTTAAAACCACAACACATGTTCCATTCAGTGCATATGCATGTCAGTTGTGTCAGACTCGACCTGTTCAGGTCGTAAGAACTTCAAAACAACTACAGCTTTTTTATCGCACCCATTCCAGAATGATTGGATCAGCTGACCCTCGTTTCCTCTGAGTTACAGAAACACCAATAAATGAGGTTGCACTTTTTTTGAATTTTTCCTTGAGGGACTTCATACCTTTGAACCGTTACCTCCGAAATTTCAAAGTTATGGCAGTCAAGAGCCAGGCTTGTTTCGTCGAATAGGAGAAGGGAAAGTAAAATTGTATCCAAAAAGCAGCAGTATTGCAATCAGGAGTTGGGGAGCTGCGAGAGGGGAGGTAGTAAAGTAATTCATGGTACCTGGCAATGATATAATTAATTCTATACACCCTAGAATCATTCTTCTGAAGAGAAAGACTAAAGAAAGTCGTTGGATCTCATTTTGATTGAAATTTAAATTTCACAAGTAGTTAGTTGAGGCGGTTGTTAAATTTTACTAAAAAGAGCAGCAACACGATTTTGGGCAGTACATTTGGGGCACCCAAACCCGGTCAGAACCTTTCAAGACATTGGTGATCGTCGATAGGAGTTTCTCGCGTTTTCAATATATGGGTTCTCTGCTGAAATCAAGATTAATCCTGTTTCTACTTTTTCTTTTATTTCTTTTCCATGTTGTTACACGCTGTCTTATTTTCCTTGGAGTTATCATTTATTTTTTTATTTATTAGTTGTTTACTAGTTGGTTATTTTCTGGATTTTCAAGCAAAATTGATAGCAACGTTATTCACCAATGTACTCCTCCGCGAGATAGTTCGTTTTTTTCAGATTTCACCCTACGCTTTTGCCGATTCCTTATTACAAGGTACAGATCTCCAATGTGTTGACTGCTTATTTACAAAAAGCAAAGGACGAGTTATCACTCGTTGCACATTTCAGATCGAAGTGTTTCATGCTCGGCTTCATCGATGGATGTGTCGTTGTCGTTTTCGAAAGATTTCTCTGGTGGTGTGTTTACAGAGAAAGGGATCAGAGATGAGCGATGCAGGTCTGTAAATAAGCTCATGAAATGCTCTACATTTTAGTACGCAGGAGGTGACAACCACTGACTCGCTTGATTTTTTGAAAATATTTGTGGCTCAGATATCTATGCTGTAAAACAGATGCATTACAGGGTATTCGGGCATATAGCCACCCCTGTCTGATTTGCAACAAATAATGAACCTAAAAAGTCGAACTACAATTACGTAGTCAGAGCAATAAAAGCCAGACAGATAGCTTTAACAATGGGATGTTTAGCGCGGGATTCATTCAGCGTTTGGAGTACTTCCACAGGTCACCAACGAATCCTCGGTGAGCAAAGGATTGCGGGCGCCGGCGATCGTATCACAGACTCACACGCAAGCTGCTACCGCTTCCTTTTGAAAGCAACCGTTGAAAGGGATTTTACCGATAAAAAAGAGCTATTCTTGTCAACATAGGCACAATGAACTTACATCCTTCACACAATTCATTTATGAAAAGGCCTTCTTCCCATAGTCAAGGCCTAGTTTTTTACCTATCTGGGCCCTAATTCAACAGTTCTACTGACATAAGTTAGGTTTTGGGAAAGTACCATCTATCCTATTTAACAAAAACTTCTTTACTAGTTCAAATTCGCCCTCGTCAAACTACTTGATAGCGCGAAGCAAAAAAGTCGATAGTATGTGCGTTAACGCATGTATCTGCGTAAAAACGCAGTAGTCTGTGTCAGGTTTTGCGAGAATCGTTACAAGACCACCTTCGTCTGTCCCATTTTTCTACTCGCCCACAATTCTTCTACGGAAAGAGCGGTCCTGTAACGATTCTTTGCAAACGGTCCTGACCTAGACCACTGCGTTTTCAAGCAAACGATGCACTTTTGTATGTGCAGATATATGTATGTGTGAAAACGCACTTGAATGCACCCACTGCGGTCTCATGAAATTCCTCTGTATGTGTATAAGAAGTAAGAATGCCTCTTGTGGCATTTCTTACAGTTTTTCAGAAAATCCCAGGGGAAATTTTGACATTCGTGAGAAGAGATACTATCCACACAACCTAGTGTTGTTTTGAAGCTATGGTTGTTTCTTAAAATGGGTTTTTGTGATCTGTTGCTTCACCTCTGTCCATAAATGGAATACATCTACATCAAACTCTATTTATGACGTGAAATTGTTCCAGATGGCGGGGTCAGGGTGAAAAAAGAATGCTTATCCGCCTGTCCTTGTTCAATAGTACGGAATGTGGGCTCAGAACAAACGAGGTGAGTGCTATTGTAATTGCAGGGACCTCTGTACACGTAGTGTGCATATAAGCCAGACCTCTGTTTACATTTAATGGGAACTCATTTGCAGACGAGTGGCGAATATAGCATAAAGCTGATTATAAGTCCTGTCGATGGTCTTCTCGTGGACGGTTTCTCAGCGATGAGCGTTCGATGTGTATATAGCACCCAGGACATTACTCTCACACTTCCACCAGGACCTAATGGTCTCTCGGCATTGCAAATCAAGTAGGAAACATTCCTTACAAACTTCCAGACTGATTCTGATCATACTTACAATTAGTAGTTTTTGATATTTGGTTATATGGATCGGCTTCCTACCTTGAACCGCACACTGAGATCATACATTTTTTTATCAAGTAGCTACTTTACCACAGCTGCTTAGATACATTGATTCGGCTGGCTTTTATTGGTCTCCTAGGTGAAGTGTTAGAAAAATGTGACCGTGCGAGGGTACGGGTGTGGGTAGTGCCTTCTTTGGCAGAAATTTTTGTAGGCACGAACTCGGATCAGCAGTCCCTTTTGATTATTTCAATATTTTACCACTTTGATCGGATGACGGCTCAACAGAATCGGATAGTCGCCGTATTAATTAACGCAAGCAATACTCAGAATGATGAAGTGTTGGGAAAGTGGGCAGTCTGCAATTCAAGCTCATAGTCGTTATCTACGAGCCAAGCAATCCTTCCAAGCTTCCCGGAGCCAGAGATTCGCCACCATATTTGTCTGTGATGATATAGGCGCTCATATTTTGGAACTTCAATCCTTCAAAAACTGCATATTCCAAAAATGTTTGCAAATCATCGCGATTGCAAACGAAGAGTCAGAGCTGGGATAAATCATGGATTAGATTGAGATTGATAAGTTTGATCTAACAGTAAGACTAGTCCCAGCTTCGCAATAGTTCTGAGAAGATAGCTGGGGTCGGGACTCTGAATCTTACAGATCCTGCTACAACATCAACTCATAAAAGACTAACTGTGTCGCTTTAGCGTGCCGAACTCTACCTTTACAGACCCCCTTAAGTTTAGAATACAATACAAGCCAAGTTCGAAGTTCATTCAATTCTTGGAATAGTTGAGAATGTATTTCAGTGGACCACAACGTGATGAGGGCGTGATCACAGGCAATGGAGGGGCTCCATTGCTTTCAATGCAAATTCTGGATGGTCACGGTATCAATGGGATTCCAGTGGCTAGAGCCAGCGTTGGCCAACGGATCACACTCGATCTTGCATTGAAGAACACTGGTAAGTGATCACAATTTAGGGTAATCGCTAAAGATGCCATAAAAAAAGGAGAAATCGTCTCATAGTAAGCTGTTTGTAGCAATCTACGATTTCTATGTGCATTCATGCTATGCCCATGACGGTACTAACACAGCTGACGCAAGCATCAACATCATCGACAGTGATGGGTAAGCAATCTCCTAGATTCATTGGTGCAGATACGTTGACATTCTGGTCAGACTGTTCGCTCCAGATGTGCTGTTCGATTGAGCCGAGCTGTAGACGCTCCAGTTTTCACTACTGAACCCATCAATCACGGTCCTAAGCATGTCTACCTCCACATGTGAGAAACTTCATGCCTACACCATTCAGGAGTTCTTTTTTTCCCAAAAGGGTTTCTCAGATTTAGATTGGATTGTACTATATAGCATAACTTTAGGTACGGTTTCCAGTTCACCTCCTCACAATTCGTTCACTTCGAATGCCAAGTGAAACCATGTGTGCACTCATGTCGAAGACAGGTTCCTTTGGTCGTATAGTTCGTGTTCGAAGATAGACGCCAAAAATTTCTTTTAGCAGTGCGAACCTAACGCTGGTAAAGCGCCTCTGATTCCGGCACTCCGTCGAAGGCGAGAAGAAATGGAAAGAAATGCCACTCTCACGACGCTAAAAATGCAAACCGTTCTTGAGATTGAACCTCAACAAGTTCAACGGGCAGCACTTGGTCGGTTCTCTAGTCAGAGCGTTTTCTGCCCTCATGAACCCTTAGATTAGTTCGAATCCTAATCTTAGATCTCCTGAACTCAACATGAATTACTGTCACTATAGAAAAGTTGTGTGACTATACCGAAGGCTCTACAAATCAGAATTATTCGGGAGAAAGTTGCAGGAAAGGTCGATAAAAACAATCTCCTCAACTACTCAACTTGAAGATTTTTCAAGAAATATAAGAGAAAAACGTACCATGAACATGCCTAACAATTTCCATTTCAGTTGCCCAGCCAGCTAACTCTGATCACTGCGTGAGCTTGAACGAGGTTGTCTTTGTGAGCTTACTATTGCTGGGTGCAATCGTCTCTCTGGTAGCTCTGTCCTGCTTCATGTGCTCCCCGACTAAACGATCCTTGCCACGGGAGGAACCGGCGTACACCGTCTCCAAAGTCTTTCAACGATGATCCTATCTGATACATAGTAATAAAATGTATACAACAGAGTGATACTGCTGAAAGCATTCTTTCGTAATGGATGACTGAAATTTCCTAATCTGATATTTTGTGAAATTATTTTGCATCAGACCGCCAATGGCAAACAAGCAGCATATTGCTCACAGCTGTGAAGATGCTGGTAGTAACGACTAGGGAAATCCTACTATGCAGAACAACAAGCAGGTGAACAGCCAAAGTAAGGCAGATACTATTTATTGCAAGCCCTTTCCCGGCAACTATGACAGTACGAGAGCTCTAAGCGATGTTTCTTCGTCGATAAGTAGACTTCAGCTATAGTTCATCGCTGTAATAAGGCCGACAGTGTTTTATAGTAGTTTATAGTGTTTTATAATCCCCTTAGAATGAAGAAGGGCAGAGGATCTATTTCAGTAGGTGATTTTCGGATGCAACTTTTTAGTCGGAGCTTTGTAGGTGTCTTTCTAGACAGCGGCATTGTTTTGAAACAAGTCTGAAAGAGGAGCAACGGTCCAAACCGTGTTATTTATTTATTTATTNGTCCCAGCTTCGCAATAGTTCTGAGAAGATAGCTGGGGTCGGGACTCTGAATCTTACAGATCCTGCTACAACATCAACTCATAAAAGACTAACTGTGTCGCTTTAGCGTGCCGAACTCTACCTTTACAGACCCTCTTATGTATAGGAAACCATATAAGCCCATTCCCACGTTCATTCAATTCTTGGAATAGTTGAGAATGTATTTCAGTGGACCACAACGTGATGAGGGCGTGATCACAGGCAATGGAGGGGCTCCATTGCTTTCAATGCAAATTCTGGATGGTCACGGTATCAATGGGATTCCAGTGGCTAGAGCCAGCGTTGGCCAACGGATCACACTCGATCTTGCATTGAAGAACACTGGTAAGTGATCACAGCTTAGCGTAATCGCTAAAGATGGCTAGGATGTCATAAAAAAGGAGAAATCGTCTCATAGTAAGCTGTTTGTAGCTATCTACGATTTCTATGTGCATTCATGCTATGCCCATGACGGTACTAACACAGCTGACGCAAGCATCAACATTATTGACAGTGATGGGTAAGCAATCTCATACAATCATGGAAGCAGATACATAGTCATTCTAACTAACAATAAGCCCTCTTCACTTCAGATGTGCTGTTCGGTTGAGCCGAGCTGTAGACGCTCCAGTCTTCACTACTGAACCAATCAATCACGGTCCTAAGCATGTCTACCTCCACATGTGAGAATCTTCACAGCCTAGAGCATTCAGGAGTTCTTCTGTTTTCAAAAGGGTTTCTCAAGATTGAATTGAATAGGTCATAAGTTCAGGTACGGTTTCCAGTTCACCTCCTCACAATTCGTTCACTTCGAATGCCAAGTGAAACCATGTGTGCACTCATGCCGAAG